AAAAAAAAATTAAACATTAAAACTGAGCGGCTATACTTTAGAAGAATAACTTAAAAAAACGTTTTAAATATTTTCTTAACATTGTAGTATTATATTTTTAAAGGTATAGACAATCAAAATATGCAAAAAAAAAATATTTTTTTTCGAATTTTTATCCTTTAGATATTAAAAAAAAAAAAAAATCTCGACAAATTTTAAAAATTTAACTAAACATTAAACCATCTGTATTATTTTTTTAGGTAACTGTTAACGGTATCACAATGCATTTGACAAAACATCAACTAAAGATAATTCCACTCATTCAACGTAAATACAATGTGTCGATTGGATTTTTAAAATCGAATTTGGGCAACATTGAAAAATTCCTTTGGTATGCATTAAGTCCACGCTTGATTATCAAGCGTGTTGCTATACGAAAAGGGAGCAAACAGCGTGTTATTTTAAACTATTACCATTTGAGGAGGGTTTTATTTGATCAAGCCGAACGCAAAGTATTTAAAACCCGAAGGCGAAATGTACAACTTTGGTCCAAACAAATGGTTTCTTATCTGCGTCGAAAATACGGCGTTAAAGAACATATTGAAATAACCACACTTAGTGATAATACAGAAACGATAAATAAACAACAGGAAGAAATAGCTAGCGGTGCAAATATGGCGCCGGACGAAGTGAGTAAACAATTGAAAGAGCAATTGGAAATACTGCGTAGCGGCAAACGAACAGTGCCGCTCATAGAAAGTGAGACCAAATCAATTGTGGATGAGCTGAGGAAAGATGCAGTAGATGCAGCAACTAACAACATACCTTTCCAGACAACAGCATTGCTGAGTCAGTGCGCTACAAAAAATGTAGATGATAGCAATCAATTTAGCCATATTACTTCAAAAGTATTAGATAAGACTGAAAGCGTCGTCCAAAACACATTGGAGACGACGCCAGAAAAACAAATTATGAGCAGTGACGAAACACGCTCAGAACAACCAAAGCATAGCTACAAAGCAGATAGAAATATGGATATTGACGGCGAGAGTGTTGAATTGCCGCCCGTAGATGCAACTATCAAAATTAGTGCAGATTTTGCAACAAAATCCGCAACTGAAATGTTGCAACAATGTGCCGATAAGAAAACAGCCAGATCGTTAAGTAGCAATAGTAATTTTTTGGATATGCTCATGAATAAGGTGCGTGGCAACAATGTGCACACAGAGACCGCTAACAATACGAAAGCTATACAGACGCCGCCCACAGCTAAGGAATTAGTTGAAATAAATGCGTATAAAACGCCCGATAATAACGAACATTTTACCGATTCCGGTGAAGAGTTCTTCGGTTTCGACGAGACAGAGCGTCTACCCGGCATGTTGCTTACACCACTTGTACCGTTTTCGGCGCAATCCAAGGGTAATGCCAATGTAGCTTTCATCAGTGAGTCATTGAATGAGTTTATGCGTGAAAATTTGCTTGAAAGTAGCGATTGTGTTGCTGACGGCATTGATAATGCTGCTGGTCGCAAACATCGTCAGGCTACATTGGATGGCTTGGTTACGCCCGAATGTATGCCGCCGCAAATGCAGATGCCTTTAGTGCCAGAAAGTTTGCAAAAGTTACGTACGGTCGCTGAGAGACGTCAGTTTTTGCAAAAATTCAACCGCAATCATAAGTTGGCAATCATAAATAATGAGGCGGCCATTTGTCGAGAGCTACAGCGCAAAATACGCCATCAAAAATCAAAAAGCGTCTCTCAACAGTCCTTACAGGCACCGAATTCTCAAATGCCGTTTACACGTCAAGGTTGGCAAGCGGCCTCATTCGTTACAACGGAATTTAATCATTATTACTATCAAACCGTTGATGTGATTGATGGTAATGAACGCGAGCGCGTACGATTGCCGGGAGTTCGCGGCAATAATGAGGAACGTAATAAGCGACCATATCTCAGTCGTGTGTCGTGTCAAGTTTTGCGTAATAAATGCAATATAAACAATTGCAGCGATGCTTTGATAGGACGAGATTTGAAACCTGTAAAAGCCGAACCGGATAGAAAAAAACTGAATAAGACACCACTGCCGAGTGTGTTCAAACCCTGCCCACTATCACATAAGCCCTTCCAAAAACCGTTAGATGATGAGACTGCACCATTGTTATTGGCTGGCGGTAGCATGGCAGTGGTGCGCATGCCAATTGTGGAACTAGAAGTTTTTCCTGCTCTCGGCAAACCACTACACGACGTGGCCAAACGTTATCTAGATTATATACTCCCACACTGTGATATAACGCGTGAATGGGCTGAGTTCAGCGTATCTACATTACAATTATCTGCTGATTATAAGAAAACTGATGATCAGTCAAAACAACAAGCGGGTGATGATATGAAAATAGCCAATGCATCATACACATTTCCTATTCCATATATGAACGATCGCAGTCACATTTTGGTGCGTCGTGTAGTTGATCGCTCGGAGAAGCTGGATGAAACATTTGAGGCGACTACATCACCTACGGAAGATTTTTCGTTTCGCGCTAATATTGATGAAAGCGATAGCGAATTGGTCGAGTGTGCTGATGTTCTAAGTGAGATGATAAACAGCGTCGCTATTAGTTGCAGTGAGAATTCGTTTATAAAAATAGATCCAGATGGTGTGCAAACCGATAAGGAGGAGGATGTAGAGTTGAAACAAGAGAAGGTTGCCGGCAAAGTGAAAGAGGAGAAAAGTTGCAACATCAAAGCTACGGATGATTCTAAGTTAGTCAATCAAGCTGCGGCAAATAAAAAACAAAACCGTCTGCTGTAAGTATGAATTTCTTTAACATTTAAAAGGGGCAAATATTTTATTATTTTTTATTTTTATTTATTATTTTATTTTTTTTATTTTCTATTTTATTTTTATTTATTATATTATTTTTTTTTTTATTTAATATTTTATTTTTTTATTTATTAATTTATTTTTTTATTTATTTATTTATTAATTAATTAATTAATTTATTTATTTATTAATTTATTTTTTTATTTATTTATTTTATTTATTAATTTATCTTTTTTTTATTTATTAATTTATCTTTTTTTTATTTATTAATTTATTTTTTTTATTATTATTATTATTATTTATTTATTTATTTATTTTTTTTATTTATTCATTTATTTTTTTATTTATTATTTTATTTTTTGATTAATTTTTTTATTTATAATTTTATTTTTTAACTGCGTTCATTGACCATATGGGTCTATAAAAAGCAAAAAATTGAACGTGGGAGCACATTTGAAGTAATTTATAATATTATATGAAATTCTATGCAGCCAAAAAGGGCAAATTACCTTGTAGTTATATGATTTATAACGTAATTTTATTAAACTATATTGAATTTTGAACTTAAGTAAATGTACTACATAATTTTTGTAGTTGTCAACAGATTTTGAAATCCATTTCAGTAAAAAAGAAAGAAAAAAACACCAACTTCGGCTACACCAAAGCTATTGTATAATACCCTTCACAGTTGTTCAGTAATTTTGTATGGCAGCTATATGCTATAGTGGCTTGAGCTGAACAATTTCTTTGGAGGTTGTAGCACTGTCTTTAATTATAATCTTTGCTAAACTGCGTGCAGATATCTTGTCAAATAAAAAAGTTTTCCATACAAGGAGTGGATTTTCATCGTTCAGTTTGTATGGCAGCTATATGCTATAGTGGTCCTATCTAAATATTTTGTTCGGATATCATAGTGCTGCTTTAGGTAATAGTCTATGCCAAATTTCGTGCAGATATCTTGCCAAATAAAAAAAATAAAAAATTTTCCATACAAGGACTTGATCGATCAGTATGTATGGGTATAAAAAATATTTAAAAAAAAATATATGACGTCACCAATTATAGATGCTAATTTTTCCTTTTTATTTGCAGATTGGAACTACGTCGCCTAAATGCAACTATAATTGATGCAGCTGTAAAAGCTGAAAAAGGTAAAATATTTATTTGAAGCTCATATATTATATAATTTCTCAAAATATCTAATTTTAGTATATACATACATAAAAAACTATAATGTATGTATGTATTACAATTAGATATTTTGTCAAATTTCTACCTTTTCTCAGCTCTTCTCTTAGATAAAAATCTTGAAAGCTGTAATATTAAAGATTTTCTACAAGCTTTTTATTGTGTTGTTCAATATACGTATTTACTGTTTTTTTTTTTATTATTTCCAGGAGCAAAGCCTTGTACAAAGGAATATTGTACATTTGGTTGTATTTGTCAAAGTCTTGCCGATGACTATCCTTTGCGTCAACATTGTGGCAAGTCCAAGTGTGTCATAGAGTGCACCTGCAAAACGCCATCTCAATCTCGCATAATGCGTCTAGAAACAGATGTAAGTATATTTTAATATATTTAAACAGAAATATGCTGAAAATAATGATTATTTCTTAACCCATTAGGGCCGCTCAATCACAACTGAAGACGCTTTTATGCTACGCAGACAGGCTACGGCGCGTCTAGCACGTATGGAGAAAGAATTTACATCCACAGTGGTGTTAACTGAAAATGAAACACTACTAATCAATGAATCACAATATGATAAGAAGCGACGTTGTACGAAAGCGCCAAAGCGCTACGAAGATTTTGCCGACACGGAAGAAGATTATGCGCGAACTTCAGCAAACACACCGCCAAAGAAAACACAAAATACCGCCGTTGTGGCAATCGAAGCAGCAACGGACACGACTTTGAGTTCTGGATTTTCTGAGACAACTACCGAACTACGTGAACCCATATATGTCAACGATAAAGTGTTGGAGAAACTCAAGCATTGCACGGTGCCACTAATACGTTTTGATAATACACAAAATATGGCGGTGTGGTGCATGGTGCATGAGTTATACAAATGTTATTGTGGCGGTCGTGCTACCGAGGGCAAACCGCTCGTTATCGAAAAGGATAGCAATGTGACCACTAACAATGAACAAACGAATGTTGGAAATAAACAAAACGCTTCCACAGATGAAGAATACATTGTTACCTCCACGAAGGCACGTTATTCATTTGAGACAGTCGAACAAACTGTAGATGAAGCAGACGCAGAGTTGCGCGAAGAAAATGAGATATTCCGAAAAAGGAGAGAAAAAAGAAAAAGCGCCGATCGTAAATCTCAAGGCAGTGTTGTGCGGTATAATAGTACCGATGATGAACGTGATGAAAGTGATAGGGAAGATGATATGCTGGAAGAATCGTTGGGTTCAGAATTCGCTGGGGATAATGGTCGCGCAAAACGGCCAAAACTGGCAAAACGGCTAGAACGACGTGGACGCCCAAGCGAGCTTACCTTCATTAATAAATATTTCATTACCGAAGCGGACGGCTGCCGGCGTGTGGTTGTGGTGCCGCGCAAAACCTACTTACGTATAAATCGCAAACGGCGTATAGAAGTTGAGGAATTCATAGCGAAGAACGAGAACAAACAGAGTATGCTGTTGCTGAATGAACACATAATGCGTTCAGTTTACTATCACAAACATGAGGTGGAGAAGCAGCGTAAAGAAGCAGCACAGGAATCGCTATTACTTACGAAGAAACGTAAATTAAATGATAACGAGTTAACGGGAACGGAGGATGCTTCAAACAAAGGTACAGTGCTCGGCAAACTTACACATATAAACGATTTATATTTTATCAATTTTTAATATAAGATGTTGGGGATTAAAAATTTAAATTTTATTTGCAAACATTTTGGCTTAAAAATTAAATTTTCAGAACTAAAAATTAATATTTTTTAATAAAAAACTCTCAAAATTTGAATTTTAATTTTTTATCCTAAACATTTTGTATTAAAAATTTCATTTTCAGAACTAAAAATTAAAATTCGCAAAATTGCAGTTTTAATCCAAAACATCTTGGATTAAAAATTTAATTTTTTAGAACTAAAAATTAAAATTCGCAAAATTGCAGTTTTAATCCAAAACATCTTGGATTAAAAATTTAATTTTTTAGAACTAAAAATTATAATTTTTTAAATTAAAAATTCCAAAATTAGAATTTTAATTTTTAATCTCAAACATCTTGTTTTAATCCAAGATTTCAGAACTAAAAATTAATTTTTTGTCTAAATAAAAATTCGCAAAAGTAGAATTTTTTTTTATGTAGAATTTTTAATTTTTCTTTGATCCCAAACATCTTGGATTAAAAATTTATGATATTATTAAATTAGACAATTCGCAAAATTAGAAATTTAATTGTTATTCCCACACATCTTGGATTAAAAATTAAATTTTCAGAACTAAAAATTAAATATTTTTAAATGAAAGTTCGATAAAGTAGAGTTTTATTTTTATTATTTAAGTCGAATTTTCAATTTTTTTTTTGATCCCAAACATCTTGGATTAAAATTTAACTTTATTTTTAGACTAAAAAAATCGCAAAATTAGAAATTTAATTGTTATTCAGAACTAAAAATTAAATATTTTTGTAATTAAAAAATTCGCAAAAGTAAAATTTTATTTATTTTAAGTAGAATTGAGTTTTTTTTAATCCCAAAAATCTTGGCTTAAAAATTTATTTTATTTTTAAAATAAAAAAATTCGCAAAATTAGAAATTTAATTGTTAATCCCACACATCTCGGATTAAAAATTATATTTTCAGAACTAAAAATCAAATTTTTTTTTAATAAAAATTCGATAAAGTAGAGTTTTATTTTTATTATTTAAGTAGAATTTTTAATTTTTTTTATTCCAAACATCTTGATTAAAATTTTACTTTATTTTTAAATTAAAAAATTCGCAAAATTAGAAATTTAATTGTTAATTCCAAAATGAGAATTAAAAATTGAAAATTTATCTTGTTTTTTTGAATCAACAAATTCGCAACCCTGACAATAATTTACTTGGCACATCAATAATAAATAATTTTTTTTTTCGTTTTTTCTTCCCTAGAGTCGAAGAAAGAAACGATAGAGCCAGTGAAGAAGAAACCGTTGCAGAAAACAATACGACAAGTTGTCGAATTGATTGATGAAGATTCCAGCCGGTCATCGCTTTCTTCCATACCTTCATTGCCCGATGGCAAGGCAACAGCTGACACAAAACTACAGAATAAACGTAAACGACTAGAAGAACGCAGCTTGCAGAACGCCAACAAAATTGAAGAAGACCCTGCAGTGCAAGATAATAGCGCTCATATTGAGGAAGCTAGTAGTCCTACCAGCACCACAGCCGATTTGAAAAATACACAGAACAAAAAAAGTGAAAACGCTAAGTTATCCGAAAAGGCGCTCACTATCAGCGACGATGACGCACAACCGTCGGTGTCATCTACGGTTTCAGAAGGTGCCACAGACATCAGCACAGCTGGCACGGAGTGTGCGGCAGCGGTAGCTTTAAGCATGCAACCAACACAATCGCTTTCAACTTCACGTATGGATTTCTTCCGCGACGTAGTGCGTAGTATGAATAATTTGGTAAACAAAAAAATGCAAGATATCGGTTTAGCGTTAAAACGTGAAAGCAAAGTCATACCTGCACCGAATAACGACATACTGTGCATAATAAAATGGTCGAACTTTTTGGACGCCTTTATTGAGGGTTTCGTTTTCATATGGCAAGTTAAGCTGCGCGATGAACAAACTTTCTTTGCTGCGACAATAACTAATATGATGCCAATGGTATTGGATGCTGTCGGTGTGGTGAATATAGCAGCATTACCAATGCAACAATTGCCCTTAATGGGACGCATGTTGCTGCAACGCTGTCGCACACCGCAAACACGTGATCTGGCGATTGTAATGCAAGGGCGCGCAAAATATTGGCTCGTTAAGGGTTTCTTGCGTGCAGATAAGTCTAGCGCGTGTGCGAAGCCAACACCAAAGACACATCCACTGCTTACGCGTAAAATTAATGTTTTATCTAGCTTGTTAGCTAAGCAACATATTCGTGAACTAAATAAAAAGGTCGCACAGAAACAGCTAGAGGAGCTTACTGAAGCCAACGAAGTGAACGAACCAACAGCAACTTCTACACAAAATATCGCAGCTGCTCCACAATCTTTGTTGCGTACACAGCCACCACCGTTAGCTCATTTGGAGAAAGAGACAAAAGCTACACAAAACAACAAAATCATACTGCAAACTGCAAAGACAAAATTAACCGAAGCAGTTGAAAGTAAGAACACGCTACAAAAGAAACCACAACCGGCGATATTGCGTGCTAGCGCACCAACTGGTACAGTCAGTACAAAAACCTTAGATGCAACGCAAAAGCTCAAATCAGGCAACGGCTTATCGATGTTGCAAGAACTGATTGGCAACAACCAGTATTCGGAAATGAAGACAAACATTGTCTTTCGCAAAGTAATGTCTCACGATATTGATGAAATGAATGTACTAGATATTACAACGGAACCGCATCGTTGGCTAGTGCTGGAACTCTATAGAGATTTTTCGCATATATATGTGCCAGATTTTCAAGAGCTAGTGTCTCTCGATCGCATACAGAAAGTGATGGCATTCAGTAGGCAAAAGCAGAAGATTGTCAAGTTGCAATTCTTCAAGGATGCAGCATACGATGCGTTCGTGATACCAAATTCGGAACGCAAAATTTTCTTTGGCCCGCTAAAACTGAATATGCCACCGCCATTACTGATTTTGCTACAAAGCGTTGATCGCAAGATGATGCTACGCGAAACATATCAGCAAATGCACAATATACAAGGTGGTGCAAAAGAGAGTACAACAGCATTTTGGATTGTGCGCAAAAACGGGCAGGTAAATAAAAATTTATTACATAATATTTGAAGCTGTTATTTTAGGCGCAATGTTGTTAATCATTGTAGTTGTGTTTTTTTTATATTTTATTTATTTTAATATTTTTTTATTTTATTTTTTTTAAAATTTTTTTTTTAAATATTTTTTTTTATATTTATTTTTATATTTTTTTAAATATTTTTTTTAAATATTTTTTTTTATATTTATTTTTATATTTTGTTTATATTTTTTTTATATTTTTTTTATATTTATTTTTATATTTTTTTAAATATTTTTTTTATACCCCCAACAGGCCACGTAGTTTGTAACAGCCAAACAAAGAAAGATTGTAGACGGAGACCTTATAATATATACATATGTATAAATGATCAGCGTGGTCGTGTCGATTTTGCCATGCCTGACTGTTTGTCTATCAGTCCGTCTGTATATACGCGAACTAGTTCCTCAGTTTTTGAGTTATCGTTCTGAAATTTCGCATATGTTCTTTAGCTCCCAACAAGCTGCTTATTTGCCGGAACCCGCTGATATAGCACAATTGTAGTATATAGCTGCCATACAAACTGATCGATCAAAATAAAATTCTTGTATGGCAAACTTTTTTATTTAACAAGATATCTTCACGAAATTTGGCAAGCATTATTATACAAGATAACTGTACAATCACCGAACAAATTATTCACAATGGACCACTACAGCATATAGCTGCCATACAAACTGTTCGATCAAAATCCAGTGCTTGTATGGAAAACTTTTTTAGTCGACGTGATATCTGCACGCAGTTTGGCAAAGATTATTATTGAAGACAGTGCTACAATCTCCGAAGAAATTGTTCAGCTCAAACCACTTTAGCATATCGCTGCCATACACACTGACTGATCGAAATCAAGATAAAGAACTTTTTATATGCTTTTGTGCTATAAAAAATGCACCTGTGAAGGGTATTATAGCTTTGGTGTAGCCGAAGTTAATGTTATTTTTTTTTTTTTCAAATAAAAATACTTTTTCCGACTTAACAAATATTTCCCCAATTTTTATTTATCACTTTTTACCAGGTTTACGTGGACCATAATTTAGATGGCTGCGCCGCAGATGCCACAAACTCTGAAAAGGCGCCTTTGGAAGAAGCGCAAGCCAAGGAAACTGTGCAGCTACCTGAATCGGATGATGATGATTGTATGATTGTTGAGGATGAAGAACCATCAGGTTCATTTTCCGCACTCGAGCCACTGCCACAAACTAACATTACAGTGAAGCCATTAGTAGAACTGCAAACAAAACTTAATTCGTCTATATCAACACGGCAACTGACCAATTTCACAATACAAAGTAGCGCCAATTCGAATCGTTTGCAAATAACAAATATGGGCACAACACCTATTGATGACAAAAGCGCTGCGGCCACAGCAATAGAAACGTCTGCTGCACAATCAAAAATGCTACATAACGGTAATAATGCTGATTTATTAACTAGCACACAATTGCCGCACACATCGTTAACAATGCCGGGGCCTGTAAACTCGCAATTGGTGCAGTTAACGAATACATCGCAAAGTCTCATATCACCATTAGCCGACAAACAGCCCGCTGCTATTCTGTGCGGTCTACCACCGAATGCGGTTATTACAGGTGTGACGCCAGCACCAAAGGAAGCGCCATACGGCACTACAATCTATATTTCCAATATCTCTTCCGCCGTGCCAGTAGTCGCTAATGGCGCGCAAAGTCAGGACAAACAATTTGCGCCAACTCTTGAAACCAATGCACAGACTTCAGCCAAAACCAGTAGTCAAGCAGTTGCCAATACGCTTGAAAATATGTCCAACGTTAGATTTCTAACACCTGACGTACGTGTTACGGCGACAGGTGATGCCACTGCAAATGAATTGTTTAGCACGCCCGTTTTGACAACAATGAGTAATACTAATCCCGGCTTGGTCTCATTGCCTGTCAGTCAACAACAGCATAGCACTTGCGACAAGCGAGGAACTGTAGGCATTTCGACACAAGCGTCAACAGCTGAAAACACAGTGAAGGTCACAACTGCCGCCGAACGTCACAACACATCAGGTGAGTTGAAATCTTCGACCAGCATCACACCGGGTGATTGGAAACGCTTTCTATTGGGTGATAATGGTAAACGTTCAACTATCGGTTCGACAACAATCACTAAAATGGCTGATAAAATTGAAACGGATGGCAAACTGGTGATGAATATTGAGGGTGATGAATTTGAACCTGCTGCATCGGTACTTATTAAACCAAATGCGACTACTTCACTAACCACTGAAGCGCATGAGTTGCCATTGGTTGCTGGTGTGGAGCTAAATACAAATAAATGCAACTTAAAGGGCACCACAGCAATTACAATCGGTCAGTCTACAGCGATTGCTACGAAGCCGAAAACAACAACAAAAACTGCTACGACTGTCGCTAAAAAACCAAATACATCGGCGACAAATACGTCGATTACGAATTTACGTTTTAAATCATTGCCGCTACAAAAAGAGCCAAAAACCGCAATACCGGTAACAACAACGACGGTTATTTTTAAATCATCTGCACCGACACTCAGCGTAGCGACAAGAACTAAACCAACTACATTAAATTTAACAGCTGCCATGTCGAAAGCGCCAAGTACTTCCATAACAATAGCTAATAGTATGCATCAACCTTTGAAACAGCAACTAAAAATACCGCCACGCTCAATGAAGCCGTCAAAGGCACAAACGCTTGCTGCTCGTCAATCGTTAACGAGCTCGTCGCGCAGTTTAATAAACTCGCCAATAACAAATGGCGCTAGTGTTAACTCGCCAAAACCGTTAATAAATATTAGACCAGCAATTCCAATACCACAACGTGCGGCGAGCGCCACAAAAGCTAACACACAACGTTTAAGCGATTCGGCACTATTTACGCCAAATATGCTTAATAATAGGCGGCTGAGTGTACCAAATGTGGCCACAAAGCCAGCTGAAACTGTTAAAAATAAAACACAATTAGCAAAAACTAAGACGAGTGAACAATATGGTGTGTTTTGTTCAAGCTCGAATGATGGTGCGCCGCGCTTTTGGGCGAAGCGTATGCATAATTCATATTTAATTAAAGTACCGGGCCTAAGTAGCGTTGTGCATCGTATAGACTTGGAAAGTGCTGACACTTATTTGAACCAGTAAGTAAAGTAGTTCATAGTTATAGGACTATTATGCAATAAATTAAAGTGAATGCATGCTTATTAATATTTACTCCTCAAGGCATCTGCTGAAACAGAGTCCCGCCATGAAATCGAAGCTTCCAATTAAGTGGAAGTTTGTGCCATCTGAACAATTGAATCTGCCAATTAAGAGATTGACAACTAAGAAGGTTGGTAGCATTGTGTATTTTAGCTATTAATTACATATTAATTATTTTATTTATTTGTACTTAGCATGAAAAGATTGTTGTGCGTTGTGCAAAGCCAGTAGAAAATAGCGCATCATCGGAGTCCAAAGTCGTGCAGTTGGCTACTGATGGCAATGTTGTAAAAGACGCTGACAATGCGGCTACCACAACATTAGATAAAAAATGTTGTGAACCAATTCTTATCGAAGATTAAACACTATAAAAGACATTAATTTTATACTTGAAGTCAAATATGCTTATCTTTTATACATACTTACATATAACCCTTGTTAAGCTTATCTATTTTGAAAGGAATTGAATCTCATTTATCAGTTAATGTTATTATTACTATTATTATTATTTTTTAATTAACTTAAATGTAACTTAGTATAACACATCGGTTATGCGTGGTTCATTCCGTAGTAGTTTTAGTCGCTTTATGCTGTTAAAGTACTCACAAACGGTTTGTAAAAATGAAAATATGTTCCAAGGCTCGTTTTTATTTTTGTTTGCTTTTAATGTACGAGTATGTTGCTGAAATTTTAAGTATATATTAGTTTGCTTTTTTTTTTTGAATAGCGCTTGTGTACATCGTTGTACTTGCACAAAGTATAAATAAGAAATGAGTTATTAAATTACCTGTAAAATAATAAATACCATATTAAAATGAAGTAAAATGAATGCGTTCAACAATTACTTTGGTACTTAATTATTTGCTTTCGTTTACTATCCGATAGGTTTAGGTAGATACGCATGAAATTTTTTTTTACTGTCGATGTATAAACAGTGCCGTGCGTTAGCTTTTGTGCTGGTTAAAATTCTGACGTTCATATTATAATTCGTCAATAAGTTTGAATATATGAATTTTCTTTCACCTAAGCGCGAAAGTGTTAATTGTTTTTGAAATCGTTATTCAGATTTGAACGCAATTATCACCTGGTTAAAAAATACAATATAAGTATGGACAATTGACTAACAAAAATATTAAAAAAAGAAAGAACGTAAACCGTAAATAAAAAAGTTTTCACAAGAACTTGGTATTGATCGTTTAGTTTGCATGGCGGCTATATGTTATAGTAGTCCGATCTGAAAAATTCATACCTTACCAAATAAAAAACTTTTCCATACAAGAACTTGATTTGGTTTGTACAGTTTGAATGGCAGCTATATGCTATGGTGAGACGATATCGGCGGTTCCGACAAATGCGCAGTTTTTTGGGGAGAAGAAGACGTGTATGAAATTTCAGATCGATATCCCAAAAACGGAGGGAATAGTTCGCATATACATACTAACGGATAGCCAGCGAACATGGCTAGTCAAATCAGTCAATAAGTCAAATTCATATATATACCTTAAAGGGTCTTTGACTTTTCCTTTTGGTTGTTACAAACTTCGTGGCAACCTTAACATAACCTGTTCGGGGTATAAAGTGTTTAAAAAGATACAATTGTATCTAAAATGTTAATTATGACATTAATTGGTCCTAATAGAAAGTATTAGAGCGATTATCGTATTTTCGACTAAATTGTACCATCTCTATTGTCAGCTGTTTAATATTAAATTTCGGTGTTAGTTGTGCAAAAGATAAAAAAATTCTTTGTTGGTTGAAATTACAAACGGACCAAAGTCAGGAAACTTTTAGTTTTTGTATAGATCAATTCCCGAACAGAAGTTACAAATATGAATTGAATATTAGCGTCATAAGACTGACTAAGTGCAAAAAATAATATAATTCTCAAGTGTTTGATCAATTCAAAGCTGCAAACTGTTTCGTCGAACCGTACGCAACGTCCTTACAAGACTTTTTGACAAAATGCCTAACGTACCAACGGTCACTGACGTTAACGATGGTGAAGTGGCAAATGCAATGAATAATTCAAAACCTTTGCTTTTAGAAGACGTACCAATTTTAAATAATGATAATTGCAAAATCAAGGACAAACAACGTGTTAAAAGAATTCTTAATGAGTTCATAGGTGGAGGTCATAAAAGATTGCAAATAGTTTCAGATTTTGACTTTACCATTACAAAGCAACGAACATCGAACGGTGCACCTATTCCCAGCAGCTTTGGTATATTTGAAGAATGTAAATCGCTTCCCCCAAATTTTGTCAAAGCGGCTCGTGAGCTGCATGATATGTATCGTCCTATCGAAGTTAATCCGCATATATTGCGGGAAGAAAAAGTGAAAGCTATGATTGAATGGTGGACCAGGTCAGGCGAGAATTTGATGTAAGTTTTTTTGAGTTGAACTAGATGCAGGGAACATTTAGAAAAACGAAAGGCATATAACAATGGAATATATATCCCGTAACCCAACGGTGATAAATTTTGCCAAAGAGATGTACATTTTACTAATGAGTTGCAGCTAAGTGCTTTGCCGCGTGCCTTATGATTGTATGTATTGCTTATAAATAATATACAAATATTGGAAACATGTGCATGGTACAATACATTTTGGATGATTACGCTAGCCGAACAACAAATTTTGGACTTCCATTTCGTTGTGTTTTGGATTGCTACATATGTATGTATATAAGAGCGATATAGCAACACCACATCTACATATATAATTATAATATGCGCATATATCACTTCTAATAAAATGTAGTAGTCGATTGAGGACAAATTTTGATACTTTTTAAAAATTAAAGATTAGTAGTAAAATTGTGTCGGCTGGATGACAGTTATTTTTACAGAAAGGTTTATCCGGAAAATTTATAATTCCTAGTTAGTGATTGAGCTGGTAACTTTTTCAAATCAAAACCTGATCACGTAGGTACACAAACTTCGAAATGGATTGCCCAAATTTGTCGCCCTGGCTATCGTAAGGGTACCGAATTTAAAATTTGCTAGATACAAATCTCACTTTGCATTTTTTAATAGCTTAATTTTTTTTTAATTTACAGGGGGTTTACCTTCGATTTAAAAGAAATCGACGAAATCGCTAAAAAATATGCCTATTCGATGCGAGATAATTCACATGAATTATTTAGAGACCTGGACGCTCTCAATATCCCCGTACTTGTATTCTCTGCCGGTTTAGGAAATTGTGTTATAGCAATGCTGCGGCAAGCAGGACTTTTGTATCCCAATATGAAGGTTATTTCCAATTTTCTTCAATTTAAAGACGATACTATGTTGAATGGTTTCAAAGAACCAATAATTCACACATTTAATAAGAACGAAACTATGCTAGAAGGTACAGAATACTACGATTTAGTGCACAGTCGTGACCATATTATACTTATGGGCGATTCTTTAGCTGATTCTGGTATGGCAGATGGTGTGCCAGCATCGTCTCATGTGCTAAAGATTGGATTTCTTTTCCACCATGTAAGTATATTTTTTTTTAGCATTATAATTAATATATAATACTCCGTTCTTTTTATTTTTAATGTCAGGCTAATGAGTACTTAGAGGAATATATGAACACGTTTGATATTGTCTTAATAGATGATCAAACAATGAATGTACCCTTGACACTATTGAAACTCATCGAGGGAAACACGCCTTCTATACAATAGTCGTTAATAATAACGTAATTAAACAATTAATTAAAAAATGTCTCAAACGATAATACATAATGACATATGTAAGGTGTTTGTTGCATGCATGTCCAATTTACTCAAATAAAAGCTTTAGTAATTTTGAAATTTTTAAAAGGACTTTTTGAGTAGCCCATATATAAATATAATATAGGGATATTTCTTCCTAGGCAATAAAAATGTACTCAGGTTACATTTTCAAATTATCGATAATTATCGGACTTTTGATTCAACAGCAGTTTGCGTGAGAAATTGGTACTTCAGCAAAGTTTTTTATGCTCCATTGAATGCTTCTTTGCGTTTCAAGTGTTGAGAAGTAATTTATTCTATTATACGAGGACTTCATCCGTATATACAGGTGGTTGGTGTAAAATCAACTTTTCATGAAACGACTTATTTTACCTCATATGTATTTATTACCCTATTGTTGTTATTTAGAAGCAACTCTGTTGTTAACAGATGACTAATGACATTTGAGAACTGTCAGAATTAAAAAGCTCAATTATTTAATGTCATACATTGCTACAGAAAAAAAAACACTTGAAAATTTCAAGACAGGAGTAGAAATAATAAATAAAATAGTTATATAGTCAATATTAGCACATAAGCTGAGATGAAACTGCAAATTGAAAGAGGCTCAACAGTAAGGGTGTACGCAAAGATAGTCTAAACGAAAAAGTTAAATAATCGTATGTGACATTGAAACAATTCTATTTCTATAAGATCAAAAAAATCATAGTTTTAAGTTAGCAGCTCTGCTTTCGTATACAAGTGAAATTATGTTTGGCTTCGACGGCGATTATCGCCGACGTCCTGTACAAAGTTTAGGCGGTGCTTCACAATCATGTGATCGTGAGACCATTATACGTAAGGCTCAGCAGGAACGACAGAAACGCAATGAACTACGTAGACAAAACAATGGCGCAATTGTCCTGCAATCATATACACGCTCCTTCATTCATAGACAACGTCGCAAGCGCTTGGAGCGTGAAGCTTTCGATGATTTTTTGCGTAGTCATCGTGATCGTGTAATCGAAGATGAATGTTTGGGATACCTGCTAAGACGTTTACTTTTCTTTTATACGAGTAGGGAAAGCAAAGATGGCGAACGCTTGGTAAGCAGTCAATATTAGTTGTTAGTAATATAATTAATAATTATATTGATTATTTTTATTATATGTATATTTATTTTAAACATAATATATTTAGATTGATGTTTGTCAGCAAATTATACGTCAGCCTGAACGTCTACTTAGAAACTCGAGTAAAGAGTTCATTTGGTTATATCGTCTAAAGAAATTGCTTGACGTTTGCTTAACGCAAATGACACTGCCACAAACCTCACCAGCTATACCGCTTCGTATGTTAGAGGTGTTTACAGCAACGTCCGTACTCGAACGTTATATGGAAGATGAAACTCGTTTACAGGCCTACTTGAAAGTGGTATTCAATTTTCTTGTAAATCATGAGTACTTCGTACGACTACGTCAGTTAATGGAAGCGAAGTGTCCACCACTAGATGGCGAGACCTTACATGCGCCGAGCCCATTTACTGATGCTATCTTCCAATTGATGTTACGTCCTCTACTACTAAAGGACGAAATGTTTGGCATCTACGAAGAATTTAGTAAACATATACTCGCTAAACCCTTCACGGAGCCCATACGAAATTATGTATTGCCTGCGCTGGCGGAATGCACGGAATTTCCATTCTCTAAGTTAATAAGAATTCTACATCGTTTGACAATTAATCCGCAGGCTGAAAAAATGCAAATAGACACAACTCCAACTCCAACCTCTTCCTTCACTGGCACAATGCCTAAAGTTGAAAACTTAGAAATTCAGCGATCAGCAATATTCAGCAGCTATCTGCTTAATGCAATTTTAATACTTGACCGTAAACATTTAGGTAAACTACATATCACACTCGCTTAAAATAAATTTAAAATAATTTTTTCTTTAATTAAGATTCACTTAATACCCAAAACCTAGTTAGCGCTTATATAAAAGTAGTGGCGGAGATTTCCGTCAAAATATTGCAATTACCAAAATCGACACTCAAACTGTCAGTAGTGCATCATCAACGCACCGACGCAGAAGAATCCAGCGATGAGGATGAGGATGACGAGGAGCAAAGTAGACGTACGCAAAAGTCGAGCACTGATTCGGATGCTGGACCGCCATCACTAAGTAGCGAAGAACAAAATGTACTTTTGGAATGCGTAAATTTGTTGAACGACTCTCAACGTGTACGCATGCTGACTGAGCAAACTGATACATATCTTGCTGATGAGAAAGTGTTATATGCGTTGTGCGAAATTTGTCACAATCTTATGATCTACAATAAGCAAGCCGTTTTTGAATACAAGTAATATATGTTAGAACAAGCTAAAAATTATATTTCATTACTGTTGCTTTGCTTCCTTCCTTTTCAGATTGCTGTACACACTTGCATTTATGCCAAATGTAGTTCGAGCAATTTGGTTTACGTTGACAGCACAATCTAGCCAACTGGGATTCAATGCGCCGCTTTCATTGATTTCTAAGGGCGTTGTGCGTAAGTTCATAATTATTGCTATTTGGACTTTGAACAGAGTTCAGATCAAACCATTATACCATATGGCTGCCATACAAATTGACCGATTAGAGCCTCTGCTGCTTCACTCCTCATACGACCGCGCTAACTGCCAAAGTACAGAGCCGCAACAAAATCCTCAAGTCGCTAGGCGGCAGCTAATGGGGAAAAGACAAAGAAACGTTAACATACAAGGAAATCGGACAGTCGGTCATAAACTACGTCGCACCGATATGGTCGCCTGCATGAAGTAAAACGCAGACCAGGAATCTTCAGACGTCAAAAAACCGCACTCCATACGATTACAGGATGCCTCTTGATGTCTCTGGTTGCACATTTGTACAACGTGGCGTGCACGCTTCCGGTCAAGGAACTAAATGAACTCCTCTTCAAGAAGTTTCGCAGAAATCATCCGCCTCTTAGGAACATCAAGAAATCTTTCCTTGATTACGTCGGCGACACCGAACAGTACGCCGACCGGACTACGGACGCAACGAACTTTAGACAAACACTGACCGCCATTCACAGTGGAGCTATCAACACCTTCATCGCCTACCTCTCAGTGAATGGCGTACTAGGAGTCAAACCACCACCCATACCAGACGTAGAGCTCGAGTTGCTTCGCGAAACCAAAGTGACTCTTGCGCAACTTCGTTCTGGACACTGTAGCAGGTTAAACTCCTACTCATCCAGAATTGACCCCGAAATACCAAATATATGTCCAGCGTGCAATGAGTCGCCGCATGACTCTAACCAACTCTTTGCATGCGCATCGAACCCCACTCATCTAACACCTCTCTCGAAACAGCACGTTTCCTGGACCTACTGTTATATGACTTCGATGACAACCAACTCGAACCTTACCACCCAAACGGGGACCAGATAACCTCTACAACAACAAGAGCCGATTAAAATCAAGTCTTTGCATTCGAACTTTTTTTATTGACGAGTTATATTCACTAAATTTAGCATCCATTATTATCCAAGACAACACTATAATCTCCGAGTATACTGTTCAGATTGGACCACTATGGCATATAGCTGTCATACAAACTGATCTATCAAAATCCAGTTCTTGTATGGACAACTTTTTCATTTGACAAGATATCTTCATGAAATCTCGCATGGATTATTGGATTATTTTTTTTTTTCTATTTACAGCTAAACAAAACGGCGTGGAGCAGACCATCCCTTTATTGGCTACATTCTGCATGCTTTTTGGTCGCCTATTGCCAACCTTGCATGACGCGGAATTCTGTGATGAAAAACTGCTATTGGCGAAATCGCTTCAATCTTCATTGGTCGCCGCCACACATATACGATTAATGCCATTCTCAATTGCTGAAATTATACAATTGTCAAAGACATTGAAGGAGATATCGTTGGGTTTGGTTGATTTAGCTTTTCCCGAGACTCGCTCAAATCTCAATGAACATTATCGCTTCGTTTTGGGCCGTTCCGAAACGGACGATAAAAAAATGTGGCAACAAAAACAAGTTTGGGCGAATTTGTTGAAAGTCGTCGTATTTGTATTGAATCAAATACATACGAGAGATTTGCGTTTAGGCTTTTGCCCGGAATCACATTGGACAGTGAGTCGTTTAGACTTGCCGCTTGATCGGCCCACTGATTTGCCATTGACGCGTGGTAATCGCACACGTGGCATACGCCCATTTCAACCAATACGTGATTTTACACGCGAAGACTTTGAAAACGGGCCACCAATGTCCACAAAGCAAATACGCTCCATTACAATATTGCGTGAAATTCCATTTGTTGTGCCATTCAATAAGCGTGTCGGCATATTGCAGGGCCTCGTGGCAGCGGACAAGATGCGCGTACAGGGCAACTATCAGGCCTTCCTGCAGGGACCGTCGATTATACTCAAGGTTAGGCGTTCACATCTATACGAGGATGCCTACGATCGTTTGCGACCCGAAAATGGTCAGTAGCCTCTTATCTAGTGCATATGTGTTTAATGACATGAAAATTTATTTTGCAGAACCTGATTTGCGTTTGAAGTTTCGTGTACAGTTTATATCGTCACTTGGCCTGGAAGAGGCTGGCATCGATGGTGGCGGTGTTTTTCGCGAATTTCTCTCTGAACTTATTAAAACGGCATTCGATCCGAACAGAGGTTTCTTTATGTAAGTAATCAGCTAAAATATTTGTATATTTACATATTAAAGCAAAAATTTCCTACAGGGTTACAACGGATAATAAATTGTATCCTAATCCAGACGTAGCTGATCTGGAACCTGACTTTGAACGGCATTATTACTTCATTGGGCGTATACTCGGCAAGGCGATCTATGAGAACTTACTCGTAGAATTACCATTGGCCGAATTCTTTCTTACCAAGCTTGCAGGAAAATATGCCGATGTCGATATTCATCAATTGGCATCGCTCGATCCCGAACTATATAAAAATTTACTCTATCTGAAGGACTATGAAGGTGATGTGAGTGAGCTGAATTTGGATTTTACCGTCGCTAGTAATTCTTTGGGGCATACACAAGTGATCGAATTGAAACCGAATGGCCAGAGCATACCAGTGACTGCATCAAATCGCATTGAATACCTACAATTGATGGCCGATTACAAGTTGAATGTGCAGATACGCAAGCATTGCGTAGCATTCCGAAGAGGGCTCTCTAATGTATTACCTGTCGAGTGGCTGTACATGTTTAGTAACAAGGAATTACAAATACTTATATCCGGTGCTGAAATCCCCATTGACTTGGATGATTTGAAGAAACACTGCAAATATGGCGGAGAATATAGCCTCGAGCACCCGTCCATCGTATTGTTCTGGTCGGTTTTAGAGAACTTCAACGATCTGCAGCGCCGACAATTGCTCAAATTTGTGACCAGCTGTTCCAGGCCACCACTGTTGGGCTTTAAGGTAATTTAACGCAATTTTAATACTCTGAACAGGGTATATTAAGTTTGCCGCGCAGCTTGTAACACCCAGCGTGAAATGTCGTAGATCCTATAAAATATATATATTATATAAATTACGCGCTGAGTCGATTTAGCCATGCCCGTCTGTCTGTATATATGTGAAATAGTCACTCAGTTTTTGAGATATCGATCTGAAATTTTGCACACGTCCTCTGCTTATTTGTTGAAACCCTCGATATTGGACCGCTATAGCCAATAGCTGCCATACAAACTGTTCGATCAAAATCAAGTCCTTGTATGAAAACTTTTTTATTTGACGGGATATCTTCACGAAATTTGGCTGGGGTTTTGCTCATAGCAATGCTACAATCTCTGAAGTTAACTTTTATTATTGTTAAAAAAATTTTTAAGTAAAATTATATTTTTTCTGTGTTTTCTACAGGATTTGGATCCGCCGTTTTTCATACAAAACGCCGGCGACATGGAACGTTTGCCCACGGCGAGCACTTGTACAAATCTGCTGAAGTTGCCGCCATTCAAAACGGAAGAGCAAATGCGTGAAAAGCTACTGTACGCTATACAATCGGGTGTTGGCTTCGAATTGAGTTAAATGGGTGTTTTGTGTTTTTTTTTGTGACATAATATTTGTCGGAAATTATATTGCTTTTTAATTGTAGGCTAATATTAACGACAACTCACTGCATGACTTAAGTTTCTTCAAATTGTATAAGAACTAACTTTTTCAGTAGTGTGTGTGTAAGGTGCAGTAAATAGAATTACGCTATAAATTAAATGAAGATAAATCGGTTGGTTGCAAAATACTGGCCCATAGTGAATTGTAGCAGTGTGTTTAAGCGAAACGGAATATAATAAATTACCATTCCTTACAATTTGGATTTGATAAATACAATATTTACATGAAATTCTTATATGAAACGTAAGAAGATAAATTTATAATTGATTTGATTTCAATAAAAAGCACATTGTTGTTATCAAAAATCACTTTTGTAATTATTACTACAGCTATAATTCAATAATCAGGCCACCGTGATCCGTGTTTAATTTCAAATCGTATGCCATACCTACACGCACCTGAAGAAGTGTGCCAGCTACTTTAGCTGGTAATTTATACTGTACTCTTCGGTGCCCCCTGCGGGTAGGGGTAAGAATTTACCCGCGGTAAGGCATGCCTGTCGTAAAAGGCGACTAAAAGCCAAATGCACTATGACTGTTATTTTATTTTGCACAAGAAATATCAGCATAGTAAATGATGTCAGAAATAGTGCTATAATAATCAGCTTGAACTGATATTATAGACTTTAAATGAGATTCCAAATAAAAATATATTTGAAGTTAAAGCGACAAATGTCACCAGTCATTGAGTAAGGCGGAGCTCAACTGGCAGTAGTTTCGGCTACACAGTCTTACCGGAGACTCAACTCTGGTACCACGGGGAGCAGAATGCCCTTGGACTTCGGTTCAAACTGCTCATTGGGTTCGGCCCTTTGGGGAGTATCGTGGTAGCTGTGGTTTAAACCTACCAAATTAATACTTGCAAATAGCTCGTATTATTTGGGGCGCTTATCAACGCATTGTTTTGATACGTTGTGCTTTGGCGCACCTTGAGGTAAGGCCGTCGACGGCAGGTACTCACGTAAAACACACCGGACGTTGTATGTAGTTTACGTGTTCGCCCAAAAATTGTAAAGTTAGGTACTCATACGACTATTAAAGTAGATTCCAACATTTTTGGCATCGAAAGGTCGAAGAAACAATCTTGGCACCAGCTGATTAATGCAGAAATTATATAATATGCAAGATATACTAAATACCATATATTGGTTATTATTTTACGTTATGTTTATTTAGAATTATTTGTTACAAATATGACTTAGTTTCCAAATTATCATATGCTAATAAATGTATTGTCAAGCACTTAAGCTTACAACTAACAATTTTTTATCGACTACAAGTGTTCCCTATAACGCTCTGGATACGCTGACGGGCGTCACATTTTTTACATTGTTAAGAATGTGTTTGTAAATCAAACGTGGCGCCATAGAAGAGTATAATAGGTCTATATGGTTGAAGCCGCGCAATTCATGTAACGTATATTTGGTATTCTTCAGTTCTTTCGTGAGACGTATGGCATCCTTAAAAAAATTATGAATAGCATGGCATCAATAACAATTTAATTAAATTGAAAGCATTTAACGCACCTCTTTGGTTAGTAGTAAATCACGTGTGCCGACAAATAGGTGCAGCGGTACACGCACATTGCGTAAATTATACTCTGGCGGAGTTTGACGTTTATACTGTCGCAAATTTTCGTCCTTGGATTGGTAGTCAAATTTTTGAAATTTACCTAAAAAGTATAAAATTTATAATTTAATAACAAAACCTTATTTTATAAGAATTACTGAGGCGGTAAAACGCGCATTTCATATAATAAAAATATGCGAATCAAAGCTGAAGTGCTACAAACCCTTTCATAGTATGACCTCAACTCGTCGCGCAACTCGAGCTATCTCTCCCACTAAAACTGCAAATCGGTTTTAGGCTAAGGCTACTGCCAAACACATTAACGCATATAATAACTGTAAATATGCCACTGTTGCAAAATATTTAAAAAATGTTTTAAAATTTCCTCTAAGATTTCCACGATCAGCGAACGTTTCGTTTAAGTCTTCTTATCAAGCCGGTGAATGGGCACTAATTGAGATGGCCACCGATACCAATTTTTAGAAGAAAATTTTCCGCTAGGTTGAACTTCACTTTTGTCGCATTTAGGGTGCTGATAATCTACAAGCCCTTGTTGAGACGCCGTTATAACCTTAAACAGTCACTTTTTAGTTTGCTCTATGGACAGAGGGCATCATTGATCCATATTTCTTTAAAAATAATAACTGACTGTAATGTTATAGTGAATGAGGAACTATAAAGCCATTGTGAATGACTTTAACATTTTGAATTATAATGGCAAACCTTTTTACGATAAAGCTAAATTCTTTGCCATATCATTAAATTATATGCGTTTATATTTTTTCTTAAAATCCACATGCCTAAAAAAAAACGTTTCTTACATTCTAAAAATTGGTTTAAATTTCAGTTATATATAATATGTACAATATATCTAAAACTAAGGCATTGTTGTTCAAAATTTTTTATTTTGCTTACCTGTTCTTATAAGCTGGCCAAAATGCTTGAATTGATTTTTCGATATACCAGCTGGAGTCGTCTCGAGAATGCGTGGAAGCAGATTCTGTTAAATAAAAATATTTTGTTGTTAAATTAGAGTTGCTGTCTACTTTTCAAATGCAGTCGAACATAAAAAAATTAACTCGAAACAGAAAACATAAACAATACTATACAAAAAAGAATACTTTGAGGAAAAAGAGTGGTTAAAGAAAACTTTTCGCATGTGTTGGGTATGTCCCGGTTTTGACATTTCACGGGATAGCTGCAGCAGCTATTCTGCGTTAGCTGATGATTTTTAAGGACGCCTTTGACCCCTTCCGGTCACTCGATGCAATTGTTAATGGCTCTTGAATATTATCCTTAATCTTTAATTATGGTCGGTCTTATGTTCTATGTACTCCTTCGTCCAGTGTTGTATACGGACGCTGCGGTATTGAGCAAGCTCAGTGATGTAATTGTACACCTTTGTATACATGTCATTTATTTATATTTGCTGTTCCTAAATCTTGATGTGTGAAAATGTATTGTATTTTGATAGAAGACAGCTCTATTTCGTAATATATCTTAATTGAGGGTTTTTCGAATATTTTTGGCTTATTATTTTATTATCTGACAAACTGTCTTATTGAAGATTTCCATTGATTTGGTCATTTTAGTTCTATAGCAATAGCATGTAGATTACTCTTCGAGTAATTCATAGAGGTTTCTCAATATGAAGTATATTAATAATAGTAACTCTGGTGGCTTTTCCTCTGCTCAAAGTGCTTGGAGCTTTTTTATCGATGGGTCAAAGCTTTGGGGAAAGCTAGGTGGAGGTCTATATTGTCCGGAACTTCAACTTCAGTTTCAGACTTCCTGACTATTGCAGTGTTTTTCTAGCCGAGGTAGCGTTAGGTTTACTGCTCCGGAGTGCAGTCTACTTTAGAGAAACACACTAAACGTGCGTTCAAGTTTGGTTAAGGCATGCCTAACCTCGTCATCAATGGCAGCGAGTCACTTTGTCATAAGACTAGTATGTTTGCCAAGCCACAGCTGAATCGCAGGCAACTGTAAAGCTGTTGAGCTGGCAAGGAGTGTATCCTAGCCTCGCTATCAGTAGAATGGGAATGGTTCGGTGCTACCCCTCTCCTCGTGTGTTCTACTACTGAATTGTTGGGCTTCGCGGAAACTTGGCTAGCGCTGCGCTAATATCGGTTCAGGTGCTGTCGTAAGAACTTTTTGGCCCAAGATCGATCTTAAGCGATCCAGTGAGATTTTTGCTCTCAGTAAGCCTAGCCTTACTTAACCTCTCCTTAGTTGTGGTGGTCCTAACAGGCCATTGTCCTATCGCCGTCCATGCTGTAAGTTTGGTAGTCTTACCGAACGCCAGCTGCAGAAGCTGTATGGAAGAAGACGAAGTGGAAGCATCTCAGTACTTCCTAGTTGTTTGTCCCGCATTTGCGAGATCAAGCCTTAAACACTTGGCTGCTTACACTTTCAGCTGTGCCACCGAACTGGTGGTAAAGAAATTAAACGCCTAGGCAAATTTTGATTGGCCACATGGCACGAGTTACAGGAGTTCTATTTTTATGGCATCACAAAGAATTGTATATAGTAGTCAAAGTGCGATTTTTGGATCACCCGAGAAACCTTACCTATAATAATAAAATGTTTTGAAGGTAAATATTGTATGCAAATTAAAAAAAAACCAAAACTAAAACAAACCAACTCAATACGTGTAAACCGTTATGAGATCATGCCTCGTCTTTGTCTGCAATACTTTGCTTGTTATACTCGTATGCATATACATACATGTAAATATATGTACGAGTATATACCTGTATGTATGCATGAGTTGTGAAAGTGAACTTTTTATTTTCATATCCGCTTCCGTTTCCGCTCTACCTTTCCGGCGCAACCTTGCTGGCGTTGAGACGGTAAATTTACAATTTTATTGCCATTTAAAGTTGAGTGTGGCTCCGGGGTAGCAAGTCTGCTCTCTCCAACTATTAGTTGCATATGGTTATGCTTGGATGTGTAGGTGTGTGTGTGTGCGTATGTGGCAAGTGTGGGATTATTCTAATCTCTGATGTTCACTTGTGTATATGCTCCTAAAGTGCACGCTGTCATTTTTATTGTCATTTATTGTTCTTTCGTAAAGTTACTTAGTTGCTTTTTTTATCTAACGATGTACTGTTTGTTGTTTTTGTTTTACTTAACACGTTCTTGTCCAAGTTGTATTTGAATGTTAGCGAAAGTGTGACATCAGTGGGCGAATACTTTGTAAAACCTTTATGCATTTAAACAATTTCAAAGTTGAGACAACATATCTTGGAAATTATCGTAGACAAACCGGTTTCGTGGTTGTGAAATAGAAAATGAAATTTCAACGACAGCTTTGTTTTTTTTTTCGCTGTAGTTTAAAGTAGTTACACAGTTTGGGAATCTCTGGAGAAGCTGTGTGTATTGGAAAAGTTGTGAGTTTGAGTGAAGCTAAGCTTAAATACAACAAACATAGCGGTTAACCTTAGGCAAAGCGTAGAAACTTGAACTTTTAGCAAAACCTTTTCGAAGCACCATTAAGACCAGAAAGTTTCCGGAAATTGTTGGCCCACAATTCCGGTCGTTTACGATGGATGTTTTCGCGCAAACGCTCAAATAACTACTCTTTATTGAACGTTTGTTCCGTTGGAAAAACCTCGTATATTAAAAAAAAACAATTTTAGTAAACTTGCTGGTCTTAATCTACAACATGTTGCTACAGAGCATAATGCATGATTTTAAGAAAAAAAAAACTCGTTCAATACCATCGATCAACCACCGTGTTCGCTGGATTTGGAAACTCAAGTTATCGTGTCCCTGGTAGCCGTTTCGACTCGATTGAGGTCGTAAAAGAAAATTCGCAGAGCGAACTGAAGGCGATCACGGACAGCGACTACAAGGCATGTTTCAAGGATTGGAAAAAAAGGTGGCATATGTGTATCGCTTCAGAAGCAGCATATTTTGAAGGCAACAAAATAAATATTGTTGAAAATTAAACTTTTTTCGAAAACTTTGGGATATATATATTATTTGATCAAGCGTCAAATATGGACAGCAGTAAAGCGAAAATACGCTATATTTTATTATTTTGATATCAAAGATGCACCAAGCTTCGGAAGGCCAATTGTCAAAAATATCGATAAAAGTACGGAAATTATCAAGTTTGACCGTCATACCAGCACCGTGCTACTCTACGGCCAAATCCTTAACTCGGATCTGTACTGGCAACAATTTAGCTGACTGCAGGAAGAAATCGCTCAGAAGCGGCCTGCTTTGTTCAATGAGAGAGGAATTGTGCTTAAACAGGCCACAAACACATCCTTAGTGACTTGACACAAACTACGGTAGCTTGGTTAATAGGTTCTTATGCATGTAACTTATATTTCGGATTTGACACCATGTGATTACTAGCTATACCTCGTGATAGGATGTAGATGTAAATCGGCTTTTGTGCTGTACCTTTAAAAATCTCAAGTGCATTTACGCCATGGATTGCCAAGCAATTCAAAGTTAGACACATAAAAATGCAAATTTTTGGCAACTTTCTCGCATGCGACCACAGGTAAAAATTAAAGGGAATAAAACGAAATCGACACCAAATATACAGCGCTCTTCCAGAGCGAGCAATAAAAAACTTTAGGTAACGTGAATTTATTTCCTGCGTAAAAATCTAGAAGTGTATGGTAAGTGGACTCGTCTATACATGCCCTGCAAGAAAAGACACTGGTTCCAAGTGAATCAATTTGAATGACTGCACAATTAAACCAGATGATTTCGAACATTCGGCGTAGGAGGTTTCGTCTTTTTTTTTTTTGCAATTTTAATTTTGTTTGTACTGTACAGGGTATATTAAGTTTGCCACGAATTTTATAATAACCAGCAAGAAAGGTCCGATAACCCATGAAATATATATATGTAGGTATAAATGATCAGCATGATGAGCTGAGTCGATTTAGCCATGTCCGTCTGTCTGTCTGTACATATACGAACTTTTGCCTCAGTTTTGAAGATATCGATCTGAAATTTAGCACCAGGCCTTTTCGCATTAAAAAGCTACTTATTTGTTGGAATGGTCGATATCGGAACACTATAGCATATAACTGCCATAGAAACTGAACAATCGGAATTAAGTGCTTGTATGAAAAACTTTTTCATTTGACGAGATATCTCGACGAAATTTGGAACGGATCATTATCTAAGAAAATAATGGAGCTTTCGAAGAAATTGTTAAGATTAAATCACTATAGCATATAGTTGTGCTACAATTCAGTTCTAAACAATAAATTTTTCGCTTTAGCTTGTGTTTCCTTGATGGGTATGTACCGCATCTTCCGAGGCATTGCATGAAGGTGGGGTTATTTTAATTCTTAAATAAAATATCTATAAAATTAAGGCTAGCTTATGGTCATACTCACACGATCCATTTGGTAGTCGCTGAAGCCCACCGTGAGAAACGTAAACAGCAGGCAGAGATTGTATGTGGGCGCATCTTGGCTGCAGAGCAGATGTCCACCCAGTTGATTTAGGGCGGTCGATGGAAAAAGTTCGTATAATCCCAAATGATTTAGAAGCACCTACGAGTCGTGCGAAAATGCATACGAATGTACGTACATATGTAGGTATATTTATAGTTGCGTTGCTCCACAAAAGCCGAAAATTGCCGGTGAATGGTGTTGGTTGTGAGTGGTGTTGTTGCCGTCGGTTGCATAACGGTAGTTGTTGTAATTGTTTTGCACCGTTTTTTTTTTTTTTAACGTATAGATAATATCAACGAGTAAGCAATTGGTGGAGTAGAGATCGTGGTCCGGATGTAGCGTAGACGAAATGAGGATTATAAAAAACCAGAAAAAGGAAATCAATATTCAGGCAATTTTCTCACAAATATAATGCTTGCAAATACACAAAACGAGGCTGCTGAATGCTTTTTTTCAACTATGACAAATATATTTGTTTTATGGTATAACTAATTCTCTGCAAGTGTGCTTCAAAAGAGAAATTTTCTCGAAAGAAAAAACGAGAATAAACGACATTAATATTTTGATAGAAACTAACGTTAAAAATGATTTTGGAATATATTTTTTTTTAACAACAAATGCGTTAAGTTATAAACTGAAGCTGCTTGATACAAAATCAGTCAAAAGTAGTCGGTTTCACATATTCGGGATCCCGAGCGAAACAAGGCGAAACAGTTACTCACTTTTGTGTTACTTTTCTTAAATTTCATAGTGCACCACTTATAATAGATTGGAACGCGCCGTATATACAAATATGTAAACATGTGGCACAATTCAGGTGCGAGGAAGTGCGAATATATACATACACTGCATAGCTGTACCTAGGTGAATACTGAGTTGCTGCTAAATTTATGTTTGGTTTCGTTCTTTGTTTCGAAACTCAGTATTAAGAGCGATATTGCTATGGATAATGGGCGATGCACTCGTAACGCCAGGAGGATTAACAATGAATTATATGTGGAAGAAACACCATTTATAAATTATGTACACATGCGTATGTAAGTGTGTATACATATTAGGGTGGAGCGAAAAAAAAGTTTTCTTTTTTGCTTAGCCTGAGAGTAAAATTTGTAGATTATAAAAAAAGAAAATTTTTGAACAAAAAAAAAAATTTTTTTTGCAACATCTCACTTTTAAAGTAAATTTTCGAGTTAAAATTTTTATTTCGTAAAATAAATTTTGAGTCAAAAACCGTCACATTCGATCATTTTTATATACTTGTAAATGTAAAGAGCTTAAACCAAAAATAATTTTTTCTTGTCCAAAAAAAATTTTAACTCGAAATTTACTTTAAAACTGAACCGAATTAAGAGTTTGACCGCAGAAGAACAGCCAATAGTAGATGTCAATCTAAGCAAACACATAAAAAAACTTTTCTGACCGTCAACACTGACTTGGTCACCGTTTGCGCAGCTCACCGCGTTTCGTCTACGACTGTTTTCGCTTGACGTTGACGTAAGTGAACCACTTTTCATCACCAGTAGACATCCGCCTCAGAAATGCTTTAATATGGTTACGTTTTTTTGGCGATTCGCAGATGGGAATTTGGTTCATGAGGTTTTAGGTCTTTTTGCCTTACTCTAAAAGATGTCTGAGAAGTTTTTCTAATACAAAATCTTATATTTCGCCGATCGCACTTATACCACATGAGTTACAGATTACTAAAGACATCTAGTGAAAAATGTTTACATTTCTTTTTACTGGACCTTATATCTGTATATCTCTGCTATATTAACTACCACAGTACCAACCTCAATTTCCTCAAGTTTGGCTGTCATTATCTTAAACGGTGGACTGCGTATGTTTGCCAAAAATACCACTGGCGCCAGCAATGATGCCGATGCAAATTTCTCATTATACTCTGGCCGCTCCGCGAGCAATACAAAGAACACAGTAGATCCTTGCGAATGTGCGACAAAATGCACTTGCTGCTGTACCGTCGTCTCGCGCACATAATCCACAACAGCCGGTACATCATAATAGCCAATGTCGTGCCAACTAAAGTTCCAAAAGCTCGAATTCGATGAATCCATGTGTAAATGCCGCTTTGAATAGGTGTTGCCGCGTGCATTCGGCAGCCATACATCGTAGCCCTGCTCATGCAGTATGCAGCCGAGCGAACGTTTGCGACCAGTTAGCACAAAATCAGCAGCTGAGCCAATCAGGCCATGCATAAGTATGAAGGGAGGATATTGCTGGCTTATCGTAGTATTTTTTGGCGGAATGCGATGTAGCATCAGCTCATAGCCATCTGCAGTGCGCACCAAATGACGCTCGCAGGCATACTGATTTGCTGTGATGATCCGACAAACTAGATCTTTAGAAACAGCTGTGTTTAGAGCGTTAACGCTAAGTACAAACGTGTGCATTAGCAGGAGTGTCGCTAACGGCTTGCGCATGCGCGATTCCATTAGCGGGAAACGCTTGCGTGACACGGCCATCGCGGCGTATGCGCAATTAATGAGTTTCGCGCCGTGTATAAAATTTTAAGTTACTTAATTATAGCACAGTATTTTTTTTTTTACTATGACATAAAATTTTGGTTTTTCAAAACAATATATTTTTTTCACAAATCAAAACTTATGCTTTATACTTTCAAATATGTTTTGCAAATTCTTTAATTTTTTTTTTCTTGTATTTGAAATTAAATATTTCTGAAATTAAATATTTCTGTACATATATTTATATTTTTATGTATACATTATGCGAAATATCATATTATATACCGTTGCTTCGTTTCACTACTTCTCACTGTGCTGTTTTCTAGACGACTGCCGATTTTTAAATTAGCTGAGACTTTAGTTAGTTCCAAAAATTGTTCGAGTGAATTTAATTCATTCAAAATTCAAGTTCAATGTCATGCAATGCTGTGGAAAAGGGCACGCTTAACTGCTTATCATTTAGCGCACAATATAAACGGCGCGGAACAGAAGACGCATGCGCAAACTAATTTATGCTTTCACGCTTCCGCTTCATCGCGGAATGTTTCTCAAATTGCTCATCTCGTTTGTGCGTTTGAGTGCCAATTAATTAAGTCACATTTAATATGATTATTTACTTTGTTTTTATTGTAGAACTAGATATTTCGTTTGTGTTGTTATCGCTGCTTCTTTTAAATGTTTGATTTTTATTGTTGTTGTTGGCTTTGGCAGATTTGAATTTCTAATTACAATAACAATTTTTATGAATTTCCGTTTAATTTTTTTTTTTTATAAGCGTGTTAACATCTATATTTATGTAACTGTTGTTATAGGTGTAGTTCGGGTCAATATATGCTCGTTGTCGTTGCCAAATATTTTTAGAGTAGCGCTAATTGTTATCTTTAACTTAGACTATATATAGTGTGCACGCCGTCAGATTTTTGACTGCCGCACTATTTTTTTAAACAGATACATAACACCTAAATTTGCTCATCATTCTGTATGGTCGTTGGCGGCAAAGAGCCAAAACCGAAGCGTAAGAGAAGGTTGTACAGTGGGTTGTATAAAGATTTTGGAAACTATAAATTATATATAGGTTTGTACACACATCTATAAGCTGGACACTAGTATAGTATAATACCAGGCTTTAATATGTTGTACATACCATATATGGATTTGAATAGTCAATGAATCCGAACGAATACAATCTGCTTTTTTATTCAATCTTATTTAAATGGTTCCAAACGGTTATTTGTGCAAAGTTTAGCTCCTGGTCAAATGAAACAATGCTTACATGACGGATTGTGAAATAGTATTTTCTCTTTGAATATTCTTTATCAAGTAATCACCAAAGTGTCTGAGAAGTCTTTTTGTACGAAATCTTATCTTTATAACGCTATAACCCGACCGCTTTTATACAACGATTACGAGATTACGAAAGTCATCTATTAGAAAAATAGTGGCTCTCTTTTACTAGACCAATATTTAACGACGCATAAATATAGAGATATGTCTAGAGTGGAGGTGTTTCGAAAGAGTATTTGCTTAAATGCATGAATAATGATTTTCCTAGTTTAGTAGCCGCTAAATTTGTCTTTGTTAAGCGCTAACATTAATTCAACGAAGTTTTAGTTCAGCAGGGAGAGTTCTAATTTATTTCAAAAAGTGTATTTTGAAATATACTAACAATTATTTCGTTTAGTATAAATCAATTGACGGAAAGGCTTTCGTTTTCGTCGTGAATAAATTTCGAATAGTAGAAAATATTTTAGAAATATTTTTTTTTTTTTGGCAAATTTTCGTAACTAACTTTATAAAATAGAAATAGAGGTAATAGCAATGACAGTTTCGCTCCGTTTCTTTTTTAGAAAGTGCGTTTGACACAAAAATACATTAATGCGTGCCGTTATGAACGAAAGTGAGCGACAGTTACTATGAAAGTTTGACAGTTAGTTTCATCTATGACGTAGCTTTTTTCAATGTTGTACTCTAAATATAAATTCTCATATCGCATGGCACATTAAGGCTCTTAAAAGTTTGTTGAGAGATTGGAATGTCAATTTTAATTTTTTGCTGACTATTTCACCACATTTTACACACTGTTATTTGTTTTCTTTAATGCGAGTAACTAAACAACTTCAATAACATGAATCTGCAGCGCCTTCAATATTTGCATGTTGTCTTACATACCTTATTGACACTGTTATTGTTGTTGTAAGAGCGCATACACTTGATCGGTATAATATGGACCCTTCTGATATCGCGTACACACACACACACACACTCAGAAAATTAAAACTGGTAATATTAAAGTTATTGAATAAAATCGTTGCAAAAAAGGTATACCATATATATGTATTATATATATGCTTTTCCATAGTGGCCAGGTAAAACATAGAACCTCATAAAAGTAAGCGAAATGTATAAAAAAAGTTACAAATAATTATAATAAACAATTAAGTCCATCAACATGCTGCAAAACAAGAATTTGCTGAAATAATTGTTTCGACCATAACCAAAGCTTGTTGTAAGGTACATTTTGGGTTTTTTTTTATAGGCTGAACAGGTTATAATAAGTTTACCACGAAGTTTGCAACACCCACAAGGAAACGTCGGAGACTCTATAAAATGTTTATATTTATAAATAATCAACATGACGAACTGAGTTTATTTAGCCCTGCCGTCTTTAGACCAGTACGCCGGTTCGTCTGTCTGTATATACGCGAACTAATCCCTCAGTTTTTGAGATATCGATCTGAAATTTTGCTCACGTCATTTTCTCGTCAAGTAGCTGCATATTTGTCGGAACCGCCGTTATTGAACCACTATAGCATATAGCTGACATACAAACTGAACGATCGGAATCAAGTGCTGGTATGGAAAACTTTTTTGTTTGATAAGATATCTTCATGAAATTTGAGATGGATTACCTCTTGAGCCAACGGTATAATCTCCGTAAAAATGATTGAGATCAGAACACTATAGCCTATAGCTGCCATATAAACTTAACGATCACAAGCAAGTCCCTTGTATGGATACTTTTTTATTTGTGAAGGGTATTATTGCTACGTGTTTTCTTTTTTTAACTGCTGCGGAAGAATGAAACTCTCATATGACTTCAACAAAATGCTAATAAGTAAACATTTTTAAACTGATTCCGGAACTAGTTATGTACATACCATAATTAACTAGGAAGAATCACTTACAAATATAATAATTCTTGTATGTTTTGAGGAAGCCTGCTTAGCATTTTATATGAAACAAATGTGTAGAATAGTAGGCGTGACTAATTCTAGTATACAGCTTTGAGCTCTTTTGAAAAAATTTAAGGTGGACTATATAAAATATTTTTTTTTTTTTATAATTATGAATAAAATTACAGCCAGCAACAAAAGTGAACCACCTTAATGTGCAAACTTTTATACTGCAGTATGTCAAGCATTGCCCAAATAATTATTTTGTTGACAATTAGTATATCATCATCACATAATCTCGCTTTTCATTACTGCTATCATTCACTATTTCTAATTTCCAACTTCAGCAGCAATAAATACAAGTATAAAATTGTTTTACTAGAACTTAATGTCTTTTTGCATGGCATTAGTACTTAGAGCTAGGAGCTTAGAATTCAGCACTGCGTTTGAGCATCAATCCGACATGCTGCACAAGCGCTAAGCCAGACTTTTGCATAGTCGCCTGTTTGTTATTTCCTTAATTGTTTGCTATTTTGCTCATGTTTAATTATTTCTTTACGCTCGCTGTCGCGCTTGCTTACCAGCTTTTTATTGTGTGTCATAGTTACCTGTCTGACTGCCAGCAACTTGTTGTGTATTAAATTAACATAAACGGTGGAAAAATTTATTAATATAAAATGCTACAATCAAAATCAGACGTGCAATGTGAATAAAAATTTAACAATAAATTTCATTTGAATTTCTAAAGTGCGCAAATAATTTTATTTTTATTTATAATATAGGTATATGGCATGCACGAGTAAGTAGCTTGGCATTACGTTGTGGCATAAAATATACTATACTCGAGCAGCACGCTTTGGCTTTTGGAACTAGTTTTCGAAAAAAAAAGTTTGCACAGCAGCTATAATACCCTTCACAGATGCAGTTCGTATAGCATAAAAAAATATAAAAAGTTTTTAATGTTGATTTTGATCGGTCAGTTTATATGACAGCTATGTATATGCTATAGTGGACCGATTAGAACAATTTTTACGGAGATTGTAGCGTTGTCTTGTATGATAGTCTATGCCAAATTTTTTGATGATATCTCATAAAATAAAAAAGTTTTCATACAAGAACTTGAATTTCCGCGTTCAGTTTGTATGACAGCTATATTTTATAATAGTCCGAGCAGAGCAATATGTTCGGTGATTGTGGCGTTATCTTGAAAATCAATTCATACCAAATTTCGTGAATATATCTTGCCAAATAAAAAAAGTTTCCATACACGAACTACAGTTTGAATGATCAGTTTGTATGGCAGCTATATGCTATATTGGTCCGATATCGGCAGTTCCACCAAATGAACCAGCTTCTTATGAAGAGAAAAAAGCGTGTCCAAAATCTCAGACAGATAGCTCAAAAACGCAGGGATTAGTTCGCGTATATACAGACGGACTTTTTCAAGGCTAAATCGAGTCAGCTCATCACGTTAATCATTTATAATATATTATAATTTATATAAAAATATTCTATGGTCTTCGACGACCCTGTTCAGCGTATAAAAATTGTTTTAATAGTGTTGCCGTTATGTATATACTCTATACCTATACAAAATATTTAAGTTTTACATTCTAAATGCTTATAAATTATGCGTGGCATTGCCTACAAGTCTCTAATTAACTTAGTTTCTTCAAGTCATATCATTTTAAATATTTCTAAACCGCTTTCCGTGCGAACTTATGCCTTTCTTACTTGCGCATTTAATGTAAGTAGTATATGTTTATGACGACAATTTTATGAAACTCGTAAAATCGTAAATTGTTTTTATTTATATTTTAATCGTATATTGTCAAAGCGGAAGCCTAATTTCTACGCAATAAATATATTAATTCTAAAAGTTATGTTGGTGCGTACTTCAAACAATAAATTTAAATGTTTTGTTACTTTTCAGTTTTGTATATAAAATATTAAGACATAATTTACATGCTGCTAAAGAAACTGACGCACCACATTACTATGGTAATGTCAACTATTTTTATAGCGCACTGTCAAAATAATGTAAAGCTCATTGCTTACAGCAGTTACTTAAATAATATAGACTTTTACTTTCTTTTTTTTTTGACCATTAAATTTAACTGTTATGATATCCACACGAAGTCAGTTGACCTTCATAATTTTATCTTGCAGGCGTTGAGTTGTTTTACCAGTTGTAATGCAGGAGAGTTGCCGGCCGGTTAATAAAATAACTTGTTAATTTACAAATTTATATACTTATATTTACATATACATACTACTTATGTAATGAGAAACCAATGAAGGGCATGGTAGAGAGAAAATAAACGTTTAGCGTGCGTAATGAGAAATTAGAGGTAAGATGAAAATATAAAATTAATATATATATATATTTAAATTAAAATATATTTATATACAGATTGAATAATGCATATCTGTAAGGTGAATCTTGTGAGATTGCAAGCTTAAGAAGAATGGTAAAAATCCGCGTGGATATGAATATATTAAATTAGCAATCATTTCTATTGAGTTAAAGTTGTGTCTTCTGTTTAGCTCTCAATCTCAGTATTTAGCAGTATTGAACAAGCTGAATCCAATATAGTGATATTTTTAAAAATAACCTCACTTTTGATTACCCACGAAAACAGCTGAACTAAATTATAATGCTACATGGGTTTCACGCTTCAACAAATTGATTTTTTTATTGTCTTATTAATTTCTATAACATCTCTAGAATATTGCACTAAATGCTCAAGTTGATCCGAGAAATAGTTTTGGGGATACAGCCTTGAAGAATGGCACGTACGAACTCAATTACTTAAAACTTTAAACGCGTTTTTTCGAAACTGTGTTTTCGAAGTCGATTGTCAAGATTTCTCGCGAACTACTCAATACTCTTAATGAAATTTTACACAGGTCTTCGAGATATAATTTACATGGTCTTGAACGAAGACTCTTTTTAATTTCAACTATAAAAAAAGCCTACAAAAATTTCCACCAAAAATTCACGTCGGTCAAAAAAACAATTTTTCCTATCTTTTCCATCGTTCTCTTTATTTGATCCGGTAAGAAGTTCCGCTGTCAACGCGGAGGCAGCTTTTTCGAAGAGACTGCCGGGAATGACGTCGTATTGGTCGAGTTTTGAATGTTTTCATTTTGAAAAGCTTTGTGTAATATGTATGTCTGGAGTAATAAAAAGTTTTAATAAAATATTTCTTTTTTTATATGAAAAAAAATTATTAAAAATCTCACTTCTAGGGTAGGGTTATTGGTCTTTGAGCTCAGAAAGATTTGTTGACCTCCGTAAAGATAAAAAGAATGGTCTATGATATAAGAATCGGTTGTTGACTTCGTTAAATGTAAACAAAAGAATTACACGCTGGGTTTTTGATCACGCTAAATGTAAACAAAAGTGTCAATGAGCTACAGATGGACCTTGCCAAAGGTCCTTGCCCCCGAGAATAGTTTTTAAAATATTGTCGAAAGAATAAGTTGAGCTAAAATTCTCTCAGATTAAAACAAATTTACGAGTTGGATTTGGAATAAAATTTGAAAATAGTTGTCTATGAGAGAGTATTGTAAGTTAGTATATTTATCTTGCATTTAATCGCGTCTTCCCGCGATGAAGCTATGTACTTACCGGAGCTCTTGGATTTTCCTTTTTTTTTTAATTTTCGTCGAGGTTAGTGCGAAACTTGTGGTCCAAGCTTTGTTGAAAGCACTCGATATTATTGCGAGAAACTCATTTTGAATTACGTAAATAATAAGAGTAGAGGTTTTCTATATTTTGAAATTAACACAATTCAAAAGTATCTATATATGGTATATAGGGTTGCCAGTCATCTACTAAGATTGCATATGTCATACGTATGTATGTTAAATACATACAGGCAATTTTAGATAAATTTAGTTACGCACACGAAAAATAGCAATATTGACATAATGAATAATGAAGTAAAAGGCTTGCGAAGTATGCAGTTTACTGATCTTTTTAATTAACAACAATGTATTAATGAGTTTGTTAACCGATTGACACTAACGCGTACGTATGTATATGATGCTGCCGATCTCGAAGTTTCGGGATTTGAATTTATATTTTGTTAGAAATATATGTCACTATTGTTTAATAATAGCGCTGTCAAAAATTGAACCGTCTCAATGAAGCAATCTCACAGAAGCGACCAGTTTTGGCTAATCGGGAGAGGAGCTGTGTTTCATCAGGGCAATGTCAGACCGCACGCATCGATACGGAATCGACGGAAGCACTGGGAGCTTGGTTGAAAGGTTCTCATGCATTCACCTTATACTCGTAGTACAGACCTGGTGCCAAGTGATGAATACCTGTTAAAGTCTATGGCGACTGATTTTCACGGTGAAAAATTCGCCTCAAGAGAAGCTTGTGAAATTCGACTGTCCCAGTTTACTACAAGTAATTGTAGAAACGAGGGTTTCTATGAGTGTAACATTAAGAAATTACTTTAAAAATGACAATAAGTTAACGAGACCGAAATAAATGCGTCTCGCATATTGTTTAAACCTTACTTGGTGCAGACCACGGCCAAATTAACAGGTATCAGTCTTCCTACAAATTAACATTAATATTTCTTTGCAGACTTGAAAACTTATAAGATATATGTATAAGTACATGTGTTTGTAAGAGAGGTCACTGCGCCTTCGCCATATTCTGAATTCTCTTATTTACCACGTTGTACTGTTGATTTATTTTTCAAGTTTAATGAATTTCAAACATGTCCGTAGGTCAGTTGCTTTCACAAACATTTTATATTGCAGTGACTCACACGCAACCACACACAGATCGGTCTTGTTACCGTATACGCGGTCATCTCCTTCCAATGGCGCCGTTAAATGCGGGGTATCAGTTTGGTGTTTTAAAAGCTATTTAGCTCATTTCTTTCAACTTCCCGATGCCATTGCAGCAAATGCAAACAATCATTAAATCCAAGAATGGCTGAAATAACTTTTCCTCCCCTTCGCTGTGACATGTGGTAGGGGACGGGAGTACCAGTATTACAACAGCAGAGAAAGTTTAAAATTGAGTTGAGTTGTCAAGTTGCTTTGGTGAAATTTGAGTTTGCATGCTGCCGCAGAGAGTTGCGGTCCCGTCTGAAAAGGATAATGGAATGAAATGCATTAATTTTTGGTGTGTGTAGTGGTGTGATTGTTGGTGCAATAGAAAAAGTTTCTGGTGGGTTGAAGGCATTACCGTGTCAAAATTTGTGGCCAAATGAGATCTAGCAGAAATTGGTGGAACCATTTTATTTTGCTTTGTTTATGTAAAGATACACATATATTTGGGTATATGTTTACCTAGATATAGTATATATATCCTTAAATATATCCATTTGCTTTTGTTTCTATGAGTTTCGTCAACTTTTCTTATCTTGAGCGACAATGTGACGCTGACAGTTTGGGCTGGAAAATTATTTTCTTAAAAAAACGATTGATATGGTTTCATCACATCTTCAGCACATACCGAGATCATTTTTCAAATAAAGCTTTGACGTCTTATGAAATGAAGAAGCATTATTTTGAATGGACTTAAACTCGAGATAATCTCCATCTAGAGTAATGCAATTGCTGTAACGGACCTGCAATATTTCTATACCGCTTCGATGATACGAAGCTTTTTGACCTTCAAAATATACGCTTCTTCCTCATTTGAGTGAAATCTTTTTCCAGCGAGGAAATGTATGCGTCTGGGCAGGGAAAATACATGCTGTGGGCTAAATCTGACAAATACGGTGGGTGCAAAACAGTTACATAGCGTAATTCGTTCTATGGTCGGTCGTTTGAAAGTCGAGCATGTAACTCTTCTTAGTAGATGTTCAAAAAACGCGGCTGCCGTCGAGCCCAAAGGTTTTTTATTTGTAAAAATTCGTGAAAGTTGTGAACTATGCCTTCTTGTGATCTCGTTAATGTTAACAGTCAATTTAATTTTACTGTTCAATACGAGAAATAGTGCTACTTTGGGACTAATAACTAGAAAACGCTCGGATGAAAAGTAAGGAACCTTTGATCTTATTCTAGAGAAGGTTGGTAAACAAAAGTAGAGGTCTAAGACAAAAGTAGAGAATATTTGCTTGTCGCGTGAACTCCAGGCCAGGTCCAAGACTTTTCGGTCGATGCCGTAAAAAATATATCCATATTTATTCAATCAGCTTCATATTCCTTTTACGAAAACTGGCGCCGACACTGACTTCGAGTGCGAATTATGACTCCTTTAATTATTATTATATAGAAACCATTCCACAATTTGTTACAAATATTTTTTCGTTGATAGCCTCTCTGGGGTTTCCAGAAACTTCCGATAGCACAGACCTAACTCAAACAATGCTCACTGCTAATCCGAGGGAATAATTTTGATTTATCGTTTATCTACTTTTATTGTTGAGCTCTCAGTTAGGAATGTATTTATATATGTTAAGTAACCGTTTCATCGCAGTTTACACTGCTGGGTTAATGTAAAGTGGAGAACACAGGCTTTCTTGGTGTGTATTAATCGGCATTTCGCTGCGCACGAAACAACGGCAAAACAGAAACGACAAGATTTGCAGCAGGATGCCACGGTAGTGAGGTGACATTTTAAATATTTAAGCGGAAGTAAAACAGACGTCGAGCTGAACAAGCACTGAGCTACTACAAAGCAGGCGACGGGTTAACGGATGAGAAGGTGCTGCGTCCGTTTGGCAGCTGAGGGTGTTTTCATTCTCCTTGAAAGTCTATGTACGCTTAGCAATTTATTATTGTTGGTAATAATAGTAACAGCGTTTGCGCTTTTGTCTTGCTGTTGTTTGGCTCGTTGTCTCGCTGCATTTCTTGCTGTGCTAACTGCCAACTGGCTGCCACTTGTGGGAGTTGTTGCTTTTCGTTGTTTGCACTGTCAGTTTGTATTCGCTTTGGCTTTGTCTGACACAACAAGTGCCACTCGACCCAACGCCGAAGGACAACTGGGCTGCAGGTAGAAGCCAACATCGTTAGGGGTCGCTTGCGTTGCTGCAGTGTCAGCGTGATGCTACATTCGTTAACGGCAGGAAACAGATTTGTTGTCGCTTTGCCGTGACTTCGAGTGGGTCACAAACGGAAAAAGCCAATCGAGTAGAAATGGGCAGCGCATAAGTAGGCGTTGAAGGTGGAGAGTTGAGCTTGGTAAATACATCAAATTCTTGACGAATACAACTGGCTGGGGTAAACTTCGTGAAGCGATTTTAAGAAGAAGAGCCAAGTCTTTAAGATGTAAACAAATAACAAACACAACAGAGTTGCAATTAAATAAAATCGTATTCTAGATTTAAGCCTATCATATTACTTTTGAGGTTTATGTATTCAGGTTTGGAACTATGATCTGATTGGCATAAAAACAACATGTTGCATTGGGCACTTGTCGAGATTTGTACGTATATATACATTGACAAAATTATCAGATAAAGAATCTGAATTTTGGTGGATTTAAATGTGTTATTCGTTGTTGTTATGGCGGCAGAAAACAAGCTTGAATTAATTTGAAGGAACGCTGGCGTATTGACAGCTCTTGGCTGGATAAAAATTGTGATACGTTTTGGTTACTGTCGTAGGAATGCTAGAGAGTTTCACCAGCTTTACCAAAATTTTCCTTAAACCAATTGCATTTACGCGGAACATGTAAGAAGGAAAGAGTTGTCTCAAACTCAACAAAGCCCCCTACATTGAACTAAGGTTAAAGAAAGGACGGCATTATCAGCAAGAGACATTGTAGATATATACATTTATTTGTTTGCTTCAATGCTATGTATTTTCTGAAAATTTTATATATTCGATTGCAACAAGTTAGCCCAACATGCGATTCCTCCAACAGCCCGACACAAACGATGGCCAAACCAAGTTTGACTGTTAGGAAATATTTTTCTATGTGTTTAGTGAGATTGGCCGAGAATCATGTGCCATGAGCTGCCTTCCAACGTTCAAACCCTCAATTCGTACCAGTATTGTCAACAATTGGACCGTCTAAAGAAAGCAAACGCCCATAAGCCGCCAACTTTGGGCGATAGAAGAGAAATCGTGTTCCATTAGGACAAAACCAGCACACTCACATCCATAGTGATTCGCAAATAGTTTCAGAGCTGGGTTAGGTGGTGCTTAAAGCTCGTACCTGGCATCAAGTGATGATTAGTTCCTGTCTATAGCGCATGCTTTTGCTGTGGAAAAATTGGCCTCTAAAGAAGCTTTTAAAATTCGACTATACCAGTTTTTTGTCAATAAGGATGGGGTTTCCTATCTGAGTGGCATTATGAAATTATATTTAAAACGTGATTTATTGTTTTTTAGTAGATTTAACAGGATTTTGTTTATTTTTGGCAACTTACATTTCTATTATGGTTCGAGCGAGCTTTTCAAGCGCCTTATCCCTTCTAAGGAAAGTTTTAAGGTACAAACGGAGCAGTAGAGCGTTCTGTAATTTGGAATTAGTCTCAATAATAGAAAGTGAGAGGGAGTTTCTTCGGTGAACGTGTTCTCTGCTAAGCTAGACGTCGAATAATTTCAGAGCGTATAGGAATGATTACATGAAATATTTCTAAAACCAGAACCAATAGTAGAAGTGGCGTTTTAAGTATGTATTATATTATGATATATATTACATATACCATATATGTACATATGTACATACATATATATAAAACCGTCGACTTCATAGACAACTAAAGCCTGCATAATTAAAAATTCTACAATATCAGTTTCTGTTGCTAACTCTACTTATACTTGTTTAAAAATTTATTTATAATATAATATATTTTCGGCGTATACTATTACCGAGCTAGAAAATGCATCACTGCAACTCAGCGAAATTTCAAAATCCCACAGAATATTCAAATACATGAACGTTGGCTCGAGATGATATTTCAATGTCATTGACATTTATCACTGATGACGATGGTCTCGCAAACTGAAGTGTTGGGCTTCTATCATATTTCAAGCTAAATCAAATTAGTTTATGATGAAATGACAAAAAGCTGTAGCCGTTTCGTAAAGAAATGAAGATGAAGCTGCCGAAATCTGCTGTTATTAAATAGTCTCACGGAGGCACTCAACACAAAAGCATTTTGCCACGTTTTGGGGATCGGGTGGCTGGGAGACTAGGCAAGACGTAAATGCAAAAACAAAAAAAAACGAGCGCGTTCGTGTGATGTGTGAATGCTTGATCAACTTGCAGTCAAAACAGCAGACAGACAGACAAGCAGACATATACGGTATAGGTGTACACATGCATGCTCATATCGATGCACATAAATAGGCAACCATGTCGCTGGGAGGGCGGGAGAGCGACTGTCGGTGCCAAATGAATGTCTCTATTTTCGACCGAAACCGCAGCCACGTTGCCAGCTGCCATCTGTCCGTCGCCAGCAGCACCGCAAAGACAAGCATGCCAGCGGCAGCCACATTTGCAGCAGTTGCAATTACAAGCGCGGCGCTGACATTCAACGCGGACGCGGATCCGGACGCGGACGCATTTGGCAACTGCGGTTACGCTTGCCGCGTTTTGTTTGGCGTTGCCGGAGTTTTACACGTTGCACATTGACTTGTGCGCCACCGTCAACGTCCGCCGTGTACACCAACGGATTGGCTCAGCCATGACGCTGCTGTCATCTGCGTTGCTTTTTTGTTTTTTTTTTTTGCTCTTACAATTCTAATTCGTTTCTAAATTTATTCATTTCACGCGTAATGCTGTTGTGGCTTCTTATTGAGTAAAAAAAAAAGAAGCAAGCAACAAAATAAAAAAAACAAAAACCAAATTAAAAATTGAATAGAAACATTCTTCGACAACGCCGCCGGTAAGTCTGCGACGTTCACGAGTCAACGTGATGCACACACACACACACATACATATCGCACATGCACCGGTAATTCGGTGAAGACATGTTGGTTCTCGCTAGACTATTTGTTGTTGCTGTTAGACGTGTTGTTTTTAGTTAGCTGGTGCAAATTAATTTCGCTTCATGTGGCCCATTAAGTTGCCGAATTGCATTGTCGGGAGCGATCAGTGCCGCTTCATTAACCAGACAATGTATTCTCATATATATGTATGTGTATACATAAGTGTATACATACTTGTATATATGCGCAATATATAT